CCGTTGTTTTTTTTTTTTTTTTCTCTTGTTCTGTGTGTTCTTTTAGGAACAGCCCAATCAGGCTAACTTTGCCAACATTTGCACTGGGTTAGAGGTCTTAAGTTTCCTGTTAACTGTGCTGCAGCCACCAGCTGTCCTCAGTAGCTTCAAACCCCTGCAGCGAGGGGTAGCAGCTTGCATGACATGCGGAAACACCAAGGTTTTGAGAGCTGTCCATAGTCTGCTTTCTCGTTTAATGGGTATTTTCCCTACAGAACCAAGTATGTGGTATTTTCTTCACTTTTTCTTTCTACTACCCAACTGAAGTGCTTAAGGGTGGGGTTAGAACACTTCAGAATATGTTAATCTTTTGTTTGATAAGTTCTGCATTTTATGGTCCATTTTAGTTTGCACTTTCAACCTCTATGGGGAAAAAAAAGTTGAAATAAGTAAGCATGTGAAATACATCATTATCCATTGACATAAAAACTTAATGACCTGTGGCAGTCATTACTTAGGCTCAAGAAATTCCTGCTATAAATTTAATGTCTTTTGCAATTATCATTTTTCTGCTTTGAAAATGCAGTTTTTCAGTTGTTAAACATTACTGTTTCCCTAAAACAAGAAGGGGAAATTGGGTGTAAAGAGAGGCTGTGGGTAACACGGAACAATTGACAAGAGTCAGGCCTGTCATATCACTACCAATTTCATTTATATCAGCTTCTGCAGAACACAACATCCGTGTGTGTTGTATACTGGGTATGAGTGAATCTTTTCACACACAGTTCAGAGATCCCCTTACCGTGTCAGCAGCATTTTACCAATATATTTTTAAGGAATGTATAGGTGCCCTTGTAACTGCGTATTGTTTTCTTGTTCCCTGGGGGACATTAGAATTGGCAAGCATGGTTTTTAGTTAGGATTTTGTCACCTCTGTTGCAGGTACTTCAAGCGTTGCTTCAAAGTACGAAGAGTTGGAGTGCCTCTATGCCGCAGTTGGGAAGGTTATTTATGAAGGACTTACTAATTACGAAAAGGCCACTAATGCTAATCCTTCCCAGCTCTTCGGTGAGTTTTTCTCTCCTGTGGTAAATGCATATAAATGGGCTTGATACACAGTATGTTCTTTGTCATTAGGCTTTATTTTATTTTCTGTTAAGGGGAAGCTGATAGGATGGGTTTTGTTTGATGGCCATGTAGATAGTGCTATGAGATGCCCTGGGGAATCTTAATGTAGAAATGACCTTGGGATGAAGGCTGTCAGCCTTGAGGAATAAGACTACAGGACTCATTGCATTCTGTCACCCTCTAGCAGCTGGAAGATAAGTATTGGAAGGGGAGACTGACTACTGTATAGGTGTCCTAGTTAGAAGGCACACAGAAAAGGGAAGCATTCAAATTTTAAGAATGATGCAAAGTAAGAGCTCTTGAAACCTTCACTTGGCCCAGCCAAAATCTTACAGTTGCTATTTTTTGGAGATAAAACTATGTTTTAAACAACATGTATAAACATTCTTGCAAATATGTCTTATATTTTTTTTTAATGCAAGTCTGGGTTTTTGTATGAAGATTTCCATTAGCTTATTTATATCATATACAAGATTTTTTTTCTTCCAAATTTGGAATCAAAACAAGAGAATATTGCAAAAACAGCATGCTTTTCAAAATATAACAATTCTGTGTGGATTTATGCACACTCTAGAACAGATTCTCTGATTTCTTCTTTCATTAAACTACCAGAGATCTGATCTGTACTCTTGACTACAAAGGAGCCGTACTGGAGTAACTAGTTTGGCAAGTTGTACCAAGTTTGGCACAGAATTGGTTCTGTCAGGAACCAGTGCAGAGTTGAAATTGTGTGGGTTTGGAAAGCTTGCTGCTTTAAATGGCAAATGTCCTTCACTATCCGCCTCTGTGATCTGTGTGGACAGATGTAATTTCACTTTGGGAATTGCCTATTTGTCAGATGTCAGGATGTGCTGTACAACATGCTAACCAAGAAAAATGCTTTGTATCCTTTGTCCAGTGATCTCCAAGGTTAGATTCTCCTGTTCATTCTGTGTCAGTATGTCTTACAGATGCTTCGTAAAAACAGAGATGCAGAATCTGAAAATGTGCTAAAATTCAGGAAAATGAAGGGAGAAGTAGAAAAGCAATAACACTTTTAAGGCACATCTGGTCATTCTAGTAACAACACCCCTGCTCTTCCCCACCCCAAAATAGCCGTGGTTTTAGAAAGTGAGTGAATTACAAAGATCCCGTAAAGCTGTTTTGAGGCATAAGGCTGTATCCTGACTCTGTTTCTGTAGATCATCTAGACAGATGTAACTATATAGCGATGTGTGTGTGTGTGTGTACACACATGTGCACACGTTACACCTATATATAATATATCTGTTTGTCTTGTTATAACATATATGCATATATACATAGCTATAACAGTATAACATATATGTATAACAATATAACTGTAAATATACTGCAGGGGTTTTAGACCTCTTTTTAAGAAGTATACCCCTTCTTCTGGTGGCAGTGGCTGGACATGGGGCGGGGAACTTGTACGCGCTTCCCCACAGCCAGTTGCATGTGTGGCCGGCTGTGGGAAAGCGGTGTGTGGTGGTGTGGGGTGATGGGTGGCAGCGGCAGTATAGGGTGGTAGTGGCCGCCTTCAGGCTCCCCACTGCATCCAGCTAGCTGGGTGGCACCTGTGCAGCCTGCAAAGGGATGCTGCTGCCCATGCACCTTCTTCCCCTCCACCTTCCCCCTGTCTTGCTGCTGGAAGATGGCACCCCGTTCCTGCCCCCACATGCCCCCTAGGACCTTTCCAATACCCCTACAGGTATGCATACCACCCCCCCCCCACACAGTTGACAACCCCTGATATACTGTATTTACCTGATACCAAGATGAGGTTGTTTTCTCCATTTTAATATGTGGGGTGGGGAGCCCTTTGTCTTGAAATCAAGTATGAAGTGGCAGGCAGGAGCTGGGGGTGTCACACTGCTGTTGCTGCTACTGGGCAGGGCTGAGGTCGTGCTCTGTGCACAACCAGAGTTGAGCAGGGACAGAGTCTGCCAAAGCAAGATAAGCAGGGGCAGGGAGGAGGGTCAAATGAGTGTTGGAGGAACAGGGGGCAAGCTGCTCACTCTTCCTCCTCCAGCTTGCACCCTGACACTGCTTTCCCTGCTGCAACAATATGGGGGGCGAATTTAAGATGACCCTCCAATAATTAAATTCTGTACTTGGAGAGTTTTATAACACATTTTATAAATTTTCCACATATAGAATCTTAAGTATTGGGGGTTGTCTTAAATGCTGAGTTATCTTGGTTTCGGGTAAATACAATAATAAGCTGTTCTCTATAAACACAGACAGATCAGCCTCAGACTCCATACTTGTATCCAGTATGTTTGTATAGGCATTAACTGCAGTTTGATGGGGGAATCAATGTTTGTCATAATACCGACTTGTTAAGGAACATACTAAATGCAGCTCCTGCACAGCTCCTGTATGTACCTTTTTGAAAAACTGCTAATTTTTTTAAAGCAGAATTTAACTTCTGCTTGAGGGAAGGCATACTGAGTGACTGGTAAATAAAAGAATATAGCCTTTGCCAGCAGATACCTATATAGATGTCAAGTCTTTGTAGTATGAATAGTAGCGTATCTCTTCCCAAGGTAGAACAACTCCCTGTCCAAAATTAGGGTATCTGGTGTTCCTTTTGATAAGATATGTACAAAGGTATGATAACTGGTCAACTAAATTCTTAATGACAAGTTTCATTTTAAAAAAAAAAGGCTTTTGTTTGTATTTTTAGGTACTTTAATGATTCTGAAGTCTGCATGCAGTAACAATCCTAGCTACATAGACAGATTGATTTCAGTTTTTATGCGATCTCTGCAGAAGATGGTCAGGGAACATTTAAATCCACAGGCTGCAGCAGGAACAGCAGAAGCAAACACAGGTAATACATTACTGTTTACAAATCTATGATAGCCAATGTAATCTCTACTTAACCTTTAAAATAACTGTTAGCTAGTTTTGCATTTGTCATTTAAAAAAAAATTATGAGGAATTGTGTAACTTGGAAATTACGTAATTAAAAATGAGAAATCTCGTTGAAAAAATTGATGGGAAAAATAGCGTTTTATAGGTCCTCAATACTTGATTAAAAAACAAAAACAAAGAAAAAGAAGCCAAATATCACTTGCTTGGATTCAGGTATTTGAAATATAGTGTGTTTAAAATTAAACCTTTCAAAATTCCATAACGTCTTACCAGGTCTCTCCTTTCATTGGTTCTAAATTGAACTGAGCTATGCTAATAACAGTTTTCTATGTAATCAGCTCCCTGAAGTTTTGTGCCCTTGTTACTGTCTTACAGTAGTGACTGAAAGGCAAGGTTGTGCCTGTTCTCAAATGAGCTGAATAAATAAAATACCAACAGTGCTAAAGAAATACAGTGCTATTAAAGAACCAAATGTATTCATTAATGATTAAGCTACTGAAGAAAATTGTTTTTAAGAAACGCTTCCAATTTGGGATTTATAACCTATATTTTAATTAAAGAGACTAAAACGTTGCAGATTCTGCTACTCACTGAGAAACACGTAGCAAATTATTAGGTTCGGCAGTTAAACAAGTCAGGAAACAACTGATTAAGAATATTGTATTGCAAAGTACTTTCATTTGCCAAGTTAAGTTTTGGTTATTCATGCTTTATAACTATTTGGTATGCTATAAATGTTTTGCCAAAGACTTACTGAAATAAGGTTCTGCTTGTGAGTTGTTTTTGGATGGGCAGTATTAAATGGGAAGGTTCTTCTGAAGGACACTGTGGCCCATTTAATTGGGAATGGAATGCAGTGGTGTCAAAAATAGTTGCCTATAGAGACTTGTATCCATGGTAATATATTTTTTTCTCCACTATTGATATTTTTACAGTTTTACCTGCAGCCTCTTTCCTTTTTTCTTCTGTAAAATGTGTGTTGGGCTTCTCATCTGCTGTTGGGGAGGAAGAGGGTTATTAGCTTTGTAAATTGTTAATAAAGTTAGATCTAGAGAGTGCTAATTTACAGTTAAAATTTAAACCATTTTTCCCTTGACAGGTGATTTTAAAATTGTATTGCTGTGTTGTTTTTTTAATTTGTTTTCTTGCTGTCTTTAGCAGGTACAAGTGAACTGGTTATGCTAAGTTTGGATCTCGTGAAAACGCGTCTTGCTGTGATGAGCATGGAGATGAGGAAAAACTTTATACAAGCAATTTTAACATCACTGATTGAAAAATCTGCTGATGCCAAAATTCTTCGTGCAGTGGTAAAAATAGTGGAAGAGTGGGTGAAAAACAATTCTCCAATGGCAGCCAATCAGGTAAAGTTGAACAGAGTTAAGTGTCATTGCAATTAAATACTAAGTAAATAAAACCCGCTTACTCTTCTGGGCTAGGGACAGAAATTACACAACCAGTATAAGTGATCAGAAACCAGTTCAGACCTGTATCACAACAAAAGTTCAGTGCATATAAACCTCTTTCAAAATGGCTGAAACGGGGTTCAGATAAACCTGGATGGATGCAGTATCAGACTTTACTGATTTAGGTTAAATTGGTTTATTGAACTTCTGTCCCAGATCCCCTCCAGATTCAAGTTTAACTCACAGTCCCCCAGCATCCCAGGATGCTTTGCACCTGCCCTGCTCCTCTCTCACAGGTGGGAAGACTAGCCTTGGCTCAAGCTTTCTGCCCCAGCTGAGCAAGGAGGTGTACCCTAGTGCCCCGTGACTTCTGGTCTGAGCCCCTGCAGGCACGTGGCTGCATTTCCAGAATCAAAAGTGAACGTCTGTTCACTTGCTCATCAGCTCAATCTACGCAGCTGAGACTGACCTGTGAAGATTGAATCGGTTCAGCCTTGGGCTTTTTGACTGACTGTACTTAGCCCTTGACAAAGAGAGAACGATTTTTAAGGACCTAGTTTTGCAAGTTCAAATGTTTCCTGTAAAGTTTTGAATTCCCTGGATTCCAAGTGAAAGTAACTGGAGCACTGTATTGATTTACATTCTCTATTTGGTTGAACATACTATTTTGCTTAGGAAAAAGAAATTAAAGGAAAGAAGAGCACCTATCTAAAAATATTGGATCTTGTAAATTATCCTGGATTAATAGTTTCTTCAGTTAAAATATATAATAGTGGAATACTTTTAGATAACCTTATCTCGTGGTGGTGATGTCATATTCCTCTTAAATTGATTAGGACTATAAATTGCATGTGTGTGTATGTATATATATTTAAAGAATGTTTTAAAAAATAAAGGATTTTAAAAAATCCTATTTTTTTAAAAACAATTTAGCAGTGAACAAGGTATAAAATATTGATAGCACAGGCTTAGAGTTTAATTTCAAATTTAAAAAATGCATGTCCTAAAGGTTAAACTACAAAAACTGTTCCCTTCTCTGAGGCTACATATTTGTATGTAGTGGTATGTGTACATGAAGCCTTTTTTCATGCATTGGGTCCAAATCCTTTTTACTTCTGTCCTGTGAAGTCCCAGTTGCCTATTATTTTAACTGTAGGAGGTTTTCACGTCTTTAGTACAGCATTCTCTGTGATACTTCTCTGTCTGCCATCCTTTTCCCCTGTAATATTAGCTTGTGTGACCTAGTGTATAAGTACAAAGTATTTATTTGTTTGTTTATTTATTTGTACATTTTGTTACCACTGGTTAGTCAGTTTTTGTCGTAATTAAATAATTAAACTTGTTTTTAACTGTTAATGATTTTAAGCATCTGCTGTAGTTGTATGCTAGAACCATAAACTGTAAATACTTAAATTATTTTCCTTACCAAAAAAAAAAAAAAAAAAGGGGGGGGGGGGGCTTTCTGAGTCTTTTTTAGGGGTCTAAAAAAAAAAAAAAAAAAAAAGAGGGGGTGGGGGCCTTCTGAGTCATGTTTCAGGTGCTTAAAAGTAGAAAAAATGGTTTATAGAATGGTTGAAATTATACTTTGGACATGCCATTGCTTTTTGTGTTTAAAGATGAATTGAGAAGATGAATCATGTCTTCTTTTAATGCAGACACCTACTCTCCGGGAGAAGTCCATTTTGCTAGTGAAAATGATGACCTATATTGAAAAGCGTTTTCCAGAAGACCTTGAATTAAATGCCCAGTTTTTAGACCTTGTTAACTATGTCTATAGGTAATTATAGCTATTAATCAAGTATTGCAGCTTATTGGTTCATAATTTGTATCATATATGACCTTTATAACAATCCATCTATCTTTTAAAGGTAATTTTTTAAATTAAATGCACAGTTGTTTCACTTGACTGAGACAGGAATGAAGATATTTATGTATTCATATTAGAACTGTGGGTAGATAGTTTCTTTATAGCCCTCAGTAGAAGCAAGGACAGAATTTTGTGGGGCATCCTTTAATTGGTCAAGTTTTAGATATAGTGATAACTGCTAAAATATGTTTCTCCTCCCCCCCTTGTCCATTTGTTAAGCTTCTCTGTTGATCTTGCCTTGATTAAGGGGGTTTGTCTTTTCGCCATTCGTGGCCTGCTAACAAAGTGGCAGACAACACAGTCAGCAGATTGTAATTAGAGCTTATTTACATAGTTTAAGCAAAGGTGGGCTGCTCTAGTGCAAATTTTGGCTTGCCTGTGCTGGTGATGTTTATTTGTGTGGTGATGCTTGGAGCTGGAGATGAGATTCAACTTTCAGTCATCTGTTTTCTGCTACTTAAGAGGGAGTTTCATATTTCACTGCTCCAGCAGTGGTTTTTGACCATCTTTCTCAAACTTCTACCTGGCAATGTGGATCACCTGGTTCACAATATTGTCTCCAGTAACTTAGCATTGTATACATGCAGACTTAGAAGTGTATGTGGGAGGGGGTCAAAAAGCAGTCTGAAACCAGTAATGGTCCCTACAAACAGTATTCCTACTTTGTATCCTTTAGGCAAGTGGTATCCAAGATAAGAAACTAACATAATACTTATTTAGTTGAGCCCAATAGCAGTAGGGTCACAAAATTTTGGTACATAGTCGGGGGCTCCCATTGGGCATGTTGGGTCTTTTAGGTATTTGCTTTTTTTCTGATTTTGACTCTACATAAAGTGTCGTCAAAGGACTTGGATAATGGTGGTGGTTGGTAGCCCAGAACTTTAAGGTTTTTGGTAGCAGACAATGCTGTGCTTAACCCTAGGCATTAGTAAGCTTCTGATATCCGTTGGAAAATTGTAGAACAGAAAAATATATTCATGTGATGAAGAAAATAGCCAGATCACCGAAAGGGCTTCCTATTATTATCAGTTGCTTATGCATTCCTCCTAGGGATGAGAACCTTTCAGGCAGCGAGCTTACTGCTAAACTTGAACCTGCCTTCCTTTCTGGACTCCGATGTGCTCAGCCTCTCATCCGAGCAAAATTTTTTGAAGTCTTTGACAATTCCATGAAGCGTCGTGTCTATGAGCGCTTGCTTTATGTAACTTGTTCTCAGAATTGGGAAGCAATGGGAAACCACTTTTGGATCAAGCAGTGCATTGAGGTATGAAACCCACTTGTATCAGAAGTGTAACTGTAATTTTGAAATGTTTGTTTGCTCTTTGTTTTCCTGGTCTATTTGTGGATGCACTGTGGCAAAGTGCATCTTGAAATATGATGCTTTTAATATCAAAGCTGTGAAACCTGAGTTATCAGTTCTCGCAGTTTAAAGCAAATACAAAGCGCATAAACCTTGAAAAGTTGATACATGGGAAATCTCTTAACCACCTTCATGACTCCATTTAGCTATGGACTCCTGTGGCTTTTATTTTAAACCTTTAATGCTTCACTCTCACTAGGGAAATGTCTAATCAGTGCTCAGCTTGAATTTTTTATTTTAAACAAAAATGACTAATAATTACAAAAATGACTAGAGAAAGAATCTTCATGGCAGACTGAATTTAAGAAGATATCTCAGTAAGAATACGATGTGTGAAGTGTTGCTGTAACATTTTGTGGAGGATTGCAGTGGTGTGAAATTATTTTGTCTAAAACAAAAGGGAGCTAAATCACTACTTTAGAAGACTTTATATAAAATAAATATAAAATTACTAAGCATAAAGCAATTCTGGTATTAGTTTCTGGTGCTCAAACAGAGCTACTTGCTGAGAGATGGGGAATAGTAGGAGTTGCCACATCTTTTAGGTAAGTCGTGTTCTAATGAAAAACTTTTTTGTAGGTACTGTATAAATGTGAAGGCACTAAATTTCATTTCCATAAAACTATAAGGCTTAGATGGAAAAAAAAAACAAAAAAAAACAACACTTCCCTATAGTGACCTTATGGGGTTTCATATATTGTTGTACTAAAGTATTTTATATACTTAGATATCCAGATATCTAGATATAGATTAAGATATCTATATAGATATATCTCAATCAAGGCTGCTATTTGATTATTTCTCTCTCTCTCCTACTGATATACTTATGTAGTACCAATGTGTAATATATATTAGTACAATATAATATAATATGTATAGATTTGGAGTTTAATAATCAAATAGCAGCCTTGAAGGCAGATTCACTGGCCTCAAATGAGGTTCTGCGCTGAGAATGGGAATTCATTGACTTATTTGCTGAGGCCAAGTATACAACAGCGAGAGTGCAGATTTCTGCACTGATAAACCTCAGCCTTTGCTTGGAAAACCCACTCTAGAAAAATAAAATGCTAATATCTCCATGCGCCTTCAAGCCTTGGTCCTTCTAGTACAGTCAGAGATGCTACTTAGTGACCAGACATCTGCATCCTGAGCTCAGGTATCAGTATGCTGCCGGTTGCTAGGCAGCTTGTTGCCTCCTCACCTTCCTTATTGCCCTTTTTGTACCTGAACATGCGTCGCAGAAAATGTAATTGAATTTTCCTCATGTTCATGTGCTTAGTCGGAATCTTTGGTTCCTTTTAATACAGCCTTGTCTGAATTTGTTTTTAAAAGCAAAAGTGAGATGAAGTGTTATCAAACTCACCCATGTTTTTAATAAAATTTACTGAGAAAAGTCATACCTGGGCCAGAAATTAAGGGGTGAGAGGAGTTCCTTTGGTGAGTGGTAAAACTTGGACTCATTCAGATTAGCCTGATGCTGAAGATTGCTTCCTAATGGGTAACTGGATCTGTTTCAATCCATTTGCCTTCCACCATTGGTTTGAGAGGGTTTTAATGATGCTATAGACAAGAAGAAAAGGTGTAATAAGCAATAAATGAACATCTTGTTTTCTTATGTTTCATGCAGAATGTGTTACAACTTTTGTCTTTTTTTAAAATGTCTTAGCTCCTTTTGGCAGTGTGCGAGAGAAGTACCACAATTGGGACAAGCTGTCAGGGTGCCATGCTCCCATCTATCACTAATGTTATCAACCTAGCTGACAGTCATGATCGAGCAGCATTTGCTATGGTAACTCATGTCAAACAAGAGCCTCGAGAAAGAGAAAACAGTGAATCCAAAGAAGAGGTAATTTTTTTTTGTCAGGAGATGAAAATACCTTCTCTCCTCATTGATATCTCAACAAGCACAATCTATACACATCGCAGTTGGTGCGAACTGTTGTATGCATCTTGGTATGCTGACATTCAGTAATGGCGTGTCATTCAGTAATGAAGCCAGATAGGCCTAACTGTTAACAGTACATGTTAAAGGAGAGTTTAATACCTTTCTCCTTATTGGCTCCTGTGATCCTACCTTATCTCTCTGTTCTAATCTTGCATTTAGATGACAAAAAAAAAAGTCTAAGCTTTGCAGCCGAGTTGGCTAAGTAGAGGCATGAGTAAGGCACATCAGCTTCTATAGCCAACAGAACACAAGCCCGTGATATGGCCAACATCACTGACTCCCTTGCCCAAATCATCAGGTATTAATATGTGGCTGAGTCACTTTTATCTGGAGCTACAGCAAGATTATTAACTGCTGTGTCACCAAAACAGTCTTGGTTCTTCCTTCAGTCTCTTCACACTGCAAATTAAATTTCCCAGTCTTAAAAACTACCAAAGGCTGAAGCTGAGTCGAGTGCTCTCTTGTATTTATACAGAAATAAAGCAGCGATTTGAGGGTGTTGTTCTGTATTTACTTTTTTTGCATAGGATGTAGAAATTGACATTGAGTTGGCTCCTGGTGATCAGACCAGTACACCTAAGACCAAAGAACTTTCTGAGAAGGACATAGGCAACCAGCTGCACATGTTGACCAACAGGCATGACAAGTTTCTTGACTCTCTTCGAGAAGTGAAGGTTGGTACAGGTCATTGGTTGGTGCAACGTGAAAATCACTGTAGAAGGACTGAAGTTTCCAAACCAATATGCCAATAAAAATCATTGGGTTAACTTTTTGGTGCATATTTACAAGGCTTTTAAAGTCTAGTGTCATTCCATAGCTACCTAGTGTAGGAATTTTAAATGCCTGAGTTTTTATAGTGAGAGGCTGTTGTCTGGGTTTCTTCTCTCAATGTCTAATTCCATCCTCTGCCACATCCCATCATTTTGTTTCTTTTCTATTAAGTCAGACTGAATTCTGGAACAGTGGAACTTAGAAGCTCAAAATGTCATCTTTGCAGCCTGTTTTATGTGGACCTCTTCCTCTTATCATTTATTGATGTCCCTTTTCATGGCAGCTACTGCAACAGTTCCTTGTCCTTCTGTCTTGCTATGAGATTTTTGTCACAGGAGTAGAGATCTGAGTGACCAAATCAAGAAGTTAAGCGTGGGTAAATTATGCACTTAGGATCTGAGAGCCTAAGCAACAGTAAAATTACTTAAGTTTTTCTAGATCTTGACATGACTCTTTTTTCAGTTACTTTGTATGTGAAAATTAGTAATTCTTGCTGGTACCGATTCTTGAAGGTATACTGAAAAGGTGCGTTTTTGTAGGAAAGTTAAATGACTGTTCCTAGCTTCATTATCTCTTGATGGATATTAATTAAGGTTTCTAAAGAACCACCAACTGTATTTGAGTATATCTTGAATTTTTCTGTAAGAAAACTACTGTCTTGAAATTCAAATAGATACTAAAATAAAAAGAGGAGTAAAATCTGGTAACAGATTAGACATGCAGTTGGGTTTTAATAGTTTATAGTGTTTTGTAGTAAATTGTCTAATCACAGCAGCAGCTCTGTACAGCTAACCTTCTTGTTTTGGTCTGAATATTCAAGTAGGCAACACCTTTTTTTTTTTTTTTTTTTTTGCAGTCTACAAATTTTTCCAAATTCTTTGCAACAGTTTATAGTCATGAACTAGAGTCTTCAGAAATACAAAAATATTATATTTTTGTTGCTTTTCTTCTGCAGGAAATTAGAAATCATGTTGATAATTTAATATAATAATTGGGGAGCACTGTACTGTGACTGTGTACATGTATGACTATGACACATGAGTTTTTGGGATATGTCTTAGTAGGTTTTATACGGTGTGAGATGATTAAAAGGCTTCGGTTTCCCCCTTCCCACCTGGTCACTTTTTTTTACTCTCCATTTCTTTTTATTTCTAGACTGGAGCATTGTTAAGTGCCTTTGTTCAGTTGTGTCATATTTCTACACCATTAGCAGAGAAGACTTGGATTCAGCTTTTCTCCCGATTGTGGAAAATCTTATCGGATAGACAGCAACATGTGAGAACCCTTCTTCCCCCTCCCCAAGTCCTTTTGTTTGGTGTTTCAGTAGGTTGTATATGTCTGCCTAATTACGTGCTCCCTCTCCTGGAAAGAGTTTAATTTCCAGTGCTTCTTGATGCTTTCATGTTTTATACTAGTTTTTTAAAGAAATGAGTTTATCCAATTTCTGAAAGCATTAACCTTTTCAGATTTTAACTGCTTATGAAAATCCCGTGATCTGAACAGTGTTAGCAAGTCGTCACATATAGTATGCTGTATTGGCACTGACTCTCTTTTTTTCATTTTGTCCGTTTTTCCTTTCAGGCCTTGGCAGGTGAAATAAGCCCTTTCTTGTGCAGTGGTAGCCATCAAGTTCAACGAGACTGCCAACCAAGTGCCCTGAATTGTTTTGTGGAAGCAATGTCGCAGTGTGTGCCTCCCATTCCTATTCGGCCCTGCGTGCTAAAATACTTGGGTAAAACTCACAACCTCTGGTTCCGTTCCACACTGATGCTAGAGCATCAGGCCTTTGAGAAAGGGCTGAGCCTTCAGATTAAACCTAAGCAGACAACAGAATTCTATGAACAGGAAAGCATAACCCCTCCTCAACAGGTAACTAAACTACTTCCAAGGAAATTAATAACGTTATGTGTGTTACTTTGTTCTATATAAACACTATTTCTGATACTTGGCGCTCATCCCGCAGGCACTGTTAGAAGATAAGCAGAAAAACAATTTTTGCTGCCCTTTGTCAAACTGGATCTAAAATCAGTTTCCAAGCATCTGGTGTTACAGACTTGCTGGCATTCTTATTTTAATGTGTGGTATTATTTTTAATTTAGTGAAAAAAATGCTTGTTCCATGTGCACGTGAATATACTGTCTCAACGCAACTCATTTTTCTACCTACCTCTTGCCTATAGCAATCTTCGGTTTTTTTTCCCTATCTTAGTACTCCTTTCCTATCAGCTTTTGTTAGTAATTCTTTACAACACTTTGGGACTAGACCCACCTGTTTTTTTGCTTTTGAGAGAGATCAGGTAGAAATACATACATCTCCCCTCTCCTACCCTGGGATATCATCTCTAGCAAATTAGGTTGGTAGAAAATGACCGAAGAGTTGATTTAGCTAATACAATATAAATTGGTGATTTGCGCTTAATGCCATGAGCTGATTTTAGTCGGCACTAACATATCGACAAACAGCTGAAAAATTGTATGAACTGAGTCCCAAATAGTGTGCTAATGTCCTCTTGATTAGTCTTCTGTCGTGTGTTTGGTTGTGTAGCACAAGTGAGGTTAATACAGAGCCTGAGTTTGTGGAGGGAAATGATGGAAATCTAACACATTATTTTTTAAAAATATTTTCTAATTAAGAAACACATGCCTTTTATAGGTTTTTAAAAAAAATTTCTTATCTTGATACCTTGCAAGAAATAGCACTTTTAGAAATGGAGTACATGGTTATCTTCCTCTGTCATTTACAATATATTAGATGTAATATTGATGATCATATGCTTTAGTACAAAATATGTCAGCTTTCTTGCAATGTGTAAGATGTACCCTTGGTAAAAAGAAAAATATACTAAATATTACAGCAGTTAAAAGAATGTGTGATTTGTTGTTGTATCCTTAGGAAATACTGGATTCCCTAGCTGAGCTTTACTCTTTGCTACAAGAGGAGGATATGTGGGCTGGACTATGGCAAAAACGCTGTAAATTTCCTGAGACCGCAACTGCTATAGCCTATGAACAGCATGGCTTCTTTGAACAGGTAGTATTCTTATAACATAAACACATCTACTAAAAGCTGATCTATGTAGGTTAACTATTAGTATTTTGCTAATAAGAACTAGCTCAAATTTCTTTTCAAATTTGAGACTGTCTCCGTATGAAGTGTTATAATAAAACCAGCTGGTATATTGATAAGATGAAATTAAATACAACTGAAAGCAATTTCCCTCAGTACCTCCCTAATTTTATTAAGTGGCATAAGGGTGTAAATATTACAATGTTTAACCTTCCTGTCTAATTTTATACTAGCGTTTATCAAGATTATTGAAAATCATATGTTCCTTTTAAAAATGACATAGTGAAGAACAGTCTATTGCATATTTGGCTGAACTGGGAAGCTAAAACTTTTTTGGATTTTTTTTTAAGGCACAAGAAACCTATGAAAAAGCAATGGAAAAAGCCAAAAAAGAACATGAACGAAATAATGCTTCCCCTTCAATCTTCCCTGAGTATCAACTCTGGGAAGACCATTGGATCCGGTAAGATCTTAAAACTGATGCAGCTTTATCCTGTGCCACGTAGTATATAATATTGTTTTCTTCCCAGAAATGTTTGAGCATTCTTGTTATAGTTTTACTGTAAGGCTATCACAAATATTTAAATCATCAACACAAAATGGATGACTGTGGCAAGGCTAATCATAGCAGTTGCTCTTCTTTATATTTTCAGCTTGTCCAAAAGGAATGGTACCTGAGTTTTAAATATATGCTATGACAATGCTTGATGCTGCTAAGCAACAGAAAAGAATCTGGTGATGTTAAATATTTATTATTAGAATAAAACTTAACCAAGGCCATTTAAAATGCAGTGCAACTTACAAGAATAGAAAATATTATTATTGCTACTATTATAACAAATTCTTGAACTATTGCACCTAAAATAGTAGAGAAGAATAATGTATGGTTAATGGAAACACCTGAATTAATTTTCCCTGTAAAAATCAGTCTTTTGGGGGAGAAAAACTGCGTTCTTTTCCCTGCCGTAGACATTCTGTGTAACGGTTATTCAAGTATTTTTTTTTTTTTTTTTTTTTTTTGGGAAATTT